TTGATGAGCGACCTTGTACTACGAAACAACTGAAAATCGTCGAACCAGGACTTGAGGAAAAATAATAATTCATACATTATGATACAAGTACGCTTACTTGAAAATTATGTATGAGGCTGACATTGGGCATCAAGCACTCGCCTGCGGCTCGTGCCGCACGATTTGGAAGAGAAACAAACAAATTGGATATGGTAGCCGGCGCTGTTGTCGAGATCCAGAATTTACCCGTGCGAAGCTGGGGCGGAACGCTAGTATTATACAAAAATAGTTTTTTTACATTGAGTATTTAAAAATTGTCTCGTAATTCTCAGGTAAGAAGCAATAAATAATGTCGTCTCCGTCCAAACAGAAATTCAAGAAACAGACGGTAGAAACGTTTCATGTATAAAAGGCTCCCGGTGACAAAATGGCTGCCCGATTATAATTTTGAAAAGGCTGTTGCTGACTTCATCGCTTTTCGTTTGTTCGTAGAAATTATAAATGTTTGCAATAATAAACATGTAATCGTATGTAAGTTTAGCTGATTGTAAACAGTTCCCTAAAGTTTCTTGTCCGTTCTTTTTTAGGATTACAGACTCTGAACGGGATGAAACAATATTTACTTAGAATCCTTTAGTTTTCAAGCATGCGTTACCAAACCGAAAACTGTAAAGATGTACAAAAATTTTCCTAGTTGTGTTTCAATTATTTTTTATTTAAATAATATTCACATAAATATTTTGTATTATTTCTGTTGTTTCATTTGAAATTGAATACATACCTGTGGATATATTATTATCTACTTATAAAAAATCGGTAGATAATAATATATCGAAAGGTAAGTTTTTTAAACTATTTAATTTCAAGTATTTTATAGTATTTTTGTGTTTTTGCGTAATCTGTTATACATAGCAAAAGATTATATAAAAAAAACTGATTACAATAACAAGGAAAAGACAAAACGCAAAATAAAGTGATATAAAATATAATAAAAAATTCGTTTTATTTTTCAATTTAGTACACTAACCTTTTAATATATATCTTAGGAAGTTAATGAACTACTATTAACTTAATAAGATATATCATTAGGAGGTTAATGAATTACTTACATATTTTTGAAACACTGTGTATTGATTCTACCTATAATTAGTAAACAGAATTTACTTTTACCAAAAATCAAGAAAATAAAATTGGAAAACCATCGGCAACACTTACCTTAAACTATTGCTATCCCGCTTAGGTATAAGGCAAGGACTACTCTTGAATGATTTTGGTCAACTTATCTGTTGAATTACCTAAAACAAAAGACAGAAAATATTGTTAAGACAATGCTAATGTGTTATTATTTGAAAAACAATTTACAGTTTAATATTGTTAGAATTAATAAAATCACATAAAATATACACAAAAGAGGTATTGGTGAAGATTAGAAGGGAGTTAAAGTCTATGGGACGAGGGATGTCAGGGGGCAGATAATAGTAAAGAGATGATGACAATTTAGTGCAGCATACTAAGCAAAAAAATATGGTTAGTGTTTCCCTCACCTCATCTAAGCCACATTCGCATAGAGAACTATCCCTAATCCTAAGTTAAGCTAGGTGAACATAGGTACAGGCGTGTCCAATCCTCAACCGGCAGAAGTAGCATGTTTGTTTGCTTTATTAAATATGAAAAACCAAGGTCTTGATGGAATATTAGCTTGTATAGCAGCATTGTGCTTGCCTTTTAGAATTTGTGATGCTTTCCATATCTCATTCCATGTTCCAAAACTACGCAGATTGACGCATAAACATATTGTGAAGTAGTTGCATCAATTATTTATAGTGCATAAAGAATTATTTGCCGTGTATTGGCGGTCAAGAATATCCACTAACCCATATCCTCCCGTGGGTGTCGTAAAAGTTAACAACGTTGTAAAGATCGGGAGTGTGTCGACGAGGGTTGCGTACCTTATACTCAGAATCACCAAACGGTATTCGCTGAAGGTCATACAGGTTTACGCACCAACCTCGGCACACCCCGACGAGGAGGTGGAGGAAATGTATGAGGATATCTCTAGAGCCATGCATTCCTCCAAAACCCAATATACGGTGTTAATGGGAGACTTCAATACAAAACTAGGCACAAGAGAGAACGGTGAGCTGAAAGTAGGGAAATTTGGAATAGGGCAAAGGAACCCAAGGGGCCAGCAGCTGGCCGACTTCATGGAAAAAGAGGGAATCTTTATGATGAACTCTTTCTTCCAGAAGCGGCCCCACAGGAAGTGGACCTGGTCGAGCGCCGACGGTTCGACAAAAAATGAGATTGACTTCATTATGACGACTAGACGACAACTGTTCAGTGATGTCTCCGTGATCGCGAGGGAGAAAACTGGTAGCGATCACCGAATGGTTAGAGGCACACTGAACCTAAACCTTAACTTGGAGAGGTCGCGTCTAATGTAGTCAACGCTCCGTCCCCCTCGTGCTCTGTTCCAAAGTCCCGAAACCTTTCAGCTCGAGTTACAAAACCGTTTTCAGTGCCTAGAAGACTGCAATGAAGTGGACGATATGAATGACAAGCTCGTGGAAACTATCCATGCGGTCGGAGCTAAGTTCTGCAAGACCCGCCGCAGAAGAACACAAAAACTCTCCGATCACACACTTAATCTCATGGCTGTTAGACGGGAGATGAAGCTACATTCTTCAACAGACTTGACAGCATACAGGCATCTGAACAGACAGATCTCCAAATGCATGAGGCGGGACTTACGCAACTTCAATACAGCTCGTATTGAAGAAGCTATCGAGCGGAACCAAGGCTCCAAAGTCTTTGCCAGAGATCTGTCTGCCAGAAAGAGCCAACTGTCAAAGCTGAAGATAGAATGTGGCAGCATCGTTTCCGGGACACGAGAGATTTTGAGTGAGATTGAGAGGTTCTATGGGCAGCTGTACACGTCATCGTTGGAGCCACACGCAAGTGTGAGTAACGATCCAAGAGCGAGTCTCATCCGACACTATTCCGAAGATATCCCGGACGTCAGTCTGAGCGAGATTAGAATGGCTCTCCAGCACCTTAAAAACGGTAAGGCCCCAGGCGAGGATGGAATTACAGCAGAGCTTCTGAAAGCGGGTGGAAGACCGGTACATGAAGTTCTTCAGAAGCTCTTTAATTCCGTCCTCCATGGTAGCATTACACCGGAGGCGTGGAGCAGAAGTGCGGTGGTCTTGTTCTTCAAGAAAGGTGACAACGCTCTCTTGAAGAACTACAGACCGATTTCCCTTCTGAGCCGCGTCTACGTGCTGTTTTTGAGAGTCATTACGAATCGTCTCGAGCGCAGACTTGACGACTTCCAGCCTCCCGAACAAGCCGGTTTCCGAAAGGGCTTTAGCACCATAGACCACATATATACCCTTCGGCAAATTGTACAGAAGTCCGAAGAGTACAATTTGCCACTATGTCTGGCGTATGTGGTCTATGAGAAAGCCTTTGATTCCTTCGAAATTTGGGCGGTGCTGCAGTCCCTTCAGCGGTGCCAAGTTGACTGTCGGTATATCGAAGTGTTGAAGTGTTTGTACAGTAGAGCTACGATGGCTATCCGAGTACAGAACCAGAGTACGAAACCTATCCAATTGCAGAGAAGTGTAAGACAGGGTGACGTCATATCCCCAAAACTCTTCACCGCTGCATTGGAAGACGTTTTCAAGCTTCTGAACTGGAAAGGATACGATATCAACATCAATGGCGAGTACATAACTCACCTTCGATTTGCCGACGATATAGTCCTTATGGCAGAATCGCTGGAGGACTTAAGCACTATGCTCAATGACCTCAATAGTGTCTCCCAACGGATAGGTCTTAAGATGAACATGGACAAAACAAAGATTATGTTTAATGTCCATGTCACACCTATGCCGGTAGTTGTTGGGAGCACTAAGCTCGAAGTTGTTGACGAGTATGTTTACCTGGGACAAATAGTCCGACTAGGTAAGTCCAACTTCGACCGAGAGGTAAATCGACGGATTCAACTCGGCTGGGCAGCGTTCGGGAAGCTACGTCACATTTTCTCGTCAGACATACCTCAAAACCTTAAAACGAAATTGTACAACCAGTGCGTGTTGCCAGTGATGACTTACGGAACTGAGACGTGGTCCTTCACAGCTGGCCGTATGAGGAAGCTCAAAGTCGCTCAGCGAGCTATGGAGAGGGCTATGCTCGGAGATTCTCTGCGTGATAAACTTAGAAATGAGGATATCCGCAGTAGAACTAGAGTAACCGACATAGCCCAACGGATTAGTAAGCTGAAGTGGCAGTGGGCCGGCCATATAGCTCGAAGAACCGACAACCGATGGGGAAGAAAGGTTCTCGAGTGGCAGCCTCGTACTGGTAGGCGAAGTGTAGGGCGACCCCCCACGAGATGGAGTGACGCCCTGGTAAGGCATGCAGGAAGTCGATGGATGCAGGTGGCTCAGGACCGTGCTTCATGGCATTCCTTGGGGGAGGCCTATGTTCAGCAGTGGCTTATGAAAGGCTGTAATGATGATGATGAAAGAATTATTATTACCTGATACTAGGATAAAATGAAGACGTGGCTTAAAAAACAAGCATCTGTGCCAAAAATCTTAATAAAAAAGAGAAAGTCACAGAAAAATGTCAAATTTGCGGGAATTTTTGACACTTGTCAATAAAAACAGTGAGCGTGAATTCATTTTAAAGGCATCATCGATTAGTAAAAGTTAAAAATATTTGATTGTGGTATGCATTAGTTTTGAAAAGAAGCGAGGTAAGCGACTACGAAATTATGTTTTAGTCGTGGTTCAAAATCAAAAACTATTTTCACTGCAAAGATTAATACACGGCTTCATCATTAATATGGCGTTCTGTAACGACATGTGCGGACGATAACGTTCGCCCTTTGTCGTCTTAATATTTATTACGAGTGTTGAAAAGCTTGTGTTTTGGATTTTATACGGGTTACGTTTGTTACTTAAGTGAATTGAGGGCCAGATCGTATTATTACGATATACATAGCGATCACTGCAATGGTGAAAACCCGTCGCAGTAACGGAGAGAATGGGGAGGTTGAGGAAGTGAATTACACTTTAAACGACGTTGCCAGCGTCTCTGATGAGAAGGTGAACACTTCAGAATGATATTTTATTGTTACTGAGCAGTTTGCACGATTGCTTTGTTAGGATTGCCCTTTGTTAGTCAACTTCCTGTCCTCATTTTCCTCTCAGTGTAGGCACCTACTCGCGATTGCACGTATTTGCATTGCATGGTCCTACAATGCTTTCTGTATGAAGAAGTCAGCTGTGAATGTTATAATTATTTAAGGATTGAGTTATGTCATAAATGACATTGTTTTTATTCTTTTACAAAGAAATTTATCTTGTTATACTCCCTCATCGTGCATGAATTAAATGATGGAAAAGGAGTTATAACTTTATAATTATAAATATCTATTAATATGTAATTAAGACTAATCAGTAAACTAATTTTTTCATTAGGCATCAAATTGGTCTCCACGTGAATTAAGAAGTAGCCAATATAAAGTTAAAAGAAAAATACAGCATTGGCCAACAAAATGTGAGTATGATTTGTGTTGTGCACAAAATCGTGTCCATGTTTAATTTTTGTGTTTTAATTCTGCATAATGGATAATTGTTTCATTATAAGTTTACTTTAACTATGTTTACAGTATTTTTATTTTTATTTATCTGTTATTGCTTCAGTAAGTCGCAGTAGACTTAGAAGAATAAGGATGCCACAAATAGTATTTCCAGAAAGTGACACTGAACCTGAGAAGTATTCAAGACGGTATGTTTTAAAAAAAAATTATAATGTTTTATTATATTATATTGCCACTTACCTATATCCATATTATTATATTAGCAATAATTTTGTAAAACTATTATAATGTTGATTCATTTGAAAATAACTACATAAGTAAGTTTGTAACATAAAGGTAAGTAACCGCATCTACAAAAACGGAAACTAGTCAATACTCTGTGTGATTCATGAAATACTTGACGCTGGCAGAATCCATTGAAAGTTGCCAAACTAGGAAAAAAAAGGACAATTTTTGGATTAGGGTACAGGGCTACAATAACTTTAAATGAAATAGGTTTTTAATTTGATTTTTAAAGAGTATACCATGTGGTGGCAGAGTAAGAATATCCACACCTCATATTGTTCATGTGTGTCGTAAGAGGCGACAGATAGATACAAACTAGGAAATAAGCAGTAGTGCTTTCTTAATAACAACTAATAAAAAATTCCATTTGCTAACCCACCTGTGGAGTGTGACAACTATGCCAAATATCCACCCTATGAGGCAATCTATGGGGAGGTCTATGTTCATCAGTGGACTTTAGTAGGCTTTACAGCCAGGTACAGTATATCAACAGTGTTTTTGTGTCATAGTGTCAGTGAAAGAAAGTACATCATAATATCGTCTGCTTACGGGTAAAAAGTAATAAGTGCAGTTAGTGTCAATTTAAGTAAATGACTTTTCAAAGTTTAGGTTTTAATTTGATCTATTGCAAACTCATTAATAAAAAAATTGTTAAAGCATAATTTTGCACTAACAACCCTTCTTTTAAGATTTACTCTTATATAACATTTAATGTTAGTAAAATTTGTATAAAATTTAATTAAGATCGAAAGGGGACCGCATTTAATATGTTTTACCTGTACTTAACAAACGTGATATATCTTCTGAATTCATTGACTTTAAAAGCTCATTTCAGTTTTGTATAATGGTTTATTGTATTTTACACCAATAAGTTGATAGGAAATATGTTATTTTTTTAAATTCGCTTAAATAATGATAATTTCGATACTTTTAACTTGTTTTGCTTGTAGAATTTTAGTGTAGTTATGTCACTTATTAGGTAGTATAAACATTATACAAAAAATTAAATAAAAAGAAATTAATTTTTACATAGGTAATTTATGAAACGATAATAAATAAAACGATTTTTTAATAATCAGTCAATTTTATTCCTTAACACATAATTATGGCAATCAATCTCCGATCACTAATGAAGAACAATAAAAGTCAATTAATTAAAACGAATCCTTTTGGGTAAACGGCTTTTAATTCCATTAAGGATATTAATCTTCTGATGACTCTTCGTCAATGGAAGGTTCAGGTAAACGATCTGCTTGATTGCTTGCAGTTGGTAGAGAAGAGTACCAACCATGGTATTCCTCAGGAATTATTTTTTTAGTACATAAACTTAGAAGATCTCTCTTTTTAGCTTCACTTATGGGTAAAGGATTCAGGTAAAGGTGTTTTAAGACAATAGACTGAGGCGTAGTGGTTTCTTTGCGTTTTTTAGCTCTAGTACTGAGACGTTGAGAAGGTTCTGTATTTTTTGAGACATCGATGTATAAGAACGTTTCAGACATGTATCAGATATCGTATTCTCTTTATTTTGAGCCACTTAACTTGATTTCCATTATTATCTTTTGAGCGATTGAAAACAGTTTCATTAGCAAATTTTTTTAAATCGTAAAATTCGTTATATTTAAATTCTTTCGTTTTGTAGGGTGTTTTAATGAACGAATTACCTTCAACAGTTATTGGTTTTTTCGATCTTGCTCGTTTGAAAATTGATAAATAATCAGGCATGCAGTAAACCTCAGAATTTTGCTGACTCAATACTGCTATGCATGCTGTCCACCTCCATGTAACTGTGTCCTGATTCAAGAAACTTGTGTTCAATTTTTCGTAAGTGAGAAATGTTTTGGACTGCAAATATAAGTAATGCAGCAATATATTGGTTCCGGTTTTGTCCTCCACACGTATCAGAATACAGACAAACTTCTGTTACATGAGAAGGAACGCACATGGAAAGGTAGTGGTACAGGATACTTCCTATTTCGGAACTGCCTCGTTTCCCATTAATTTCGGACCAAGCAAAACAATATGCTTCGTTTGGCAGCGCTACTTCGTATATACAGAGATTGTAAACACATAGCTTTCGATAATAATAAAGCTGTCCCACCAGTCCAGAAGGTATCTGTAACACAGCTTGTAAGTCGAATGTTACACAGCGAAACTCTTTATCTTTCTCTGCTCTTTCTTTGTCCTTCCCTTTTTCCAAGTACAGGATGCTTTCCTTGCTAAATGATCCTTGTATTCACCTTTCAAAACTAGTTTTTCGTCATCACTAGCTTTGTTGAAATTGGAACATATTAAACATTGATCCTTTTTTGGAACAAAGAAACTAAAATTGTAATGGGTACAAAATATTCTTCTGTACGTTATTTCAGATACCGGAATCATATTATTTTCAATGCACTTGTCTTTATAAAGTTGATGCATTTTCGTGATGGATAACGAAGCATCCAGATAACGACGCTTAGAAGTTTGCCTTATGTAGTGTGGTTCCATGACAGGGAAGGACTTTATGTGTTTTTTCACAAAGTTCACATCAGCTTAATTAGTCTTATTAGGGGGTTCATGTTTACCTCTCTTGTCACTATCCTTGTACAGCCCCATATCATTCCGCTTTCGAATAGCATCATTCACAACAGTCGGAGAAATAGCTAGCGTGTAACAAAAAAACTTCTGACATACCTGCTTCTTCTCTCCGTTGTGAAAAAAGAAACATCTTTTTGTGAATTGTCGCTGTTTCTTTGGTCCACGAATAGCAAGAACTCTCTTCGGAGTGTCTACTTCCACATTACCGAGAATGAAATTCTTTTGCTCGGTATACCTCAAACTCCAGTAGTGACGGCATAAATTATTTCTTTCTTCTGGAGAGATCACACTACATTTATAAAAACATTTCTCACAGTCAACCTCTTTTGGTGTTTTAGCATTCCTATCTTTTTTTCTCATTGAATAAGGTAAACCTTCAGATCGTCTTTTCTTCGCGATATTTACTTTCCAATTTTCAGGTTCTGGTTTCATCCAACGTTTTCTTTTCCGAATAGCATCGAATACTCCTTTCAATAAGAGTCCCCAAAGAGATATTACGACTTGATGTTGGCAACACCTGTGCGATCATAACGTCGCCGTCGTTAGGTTGAAATTCTTCGTCATGATCGTCTCCATAGAATCGTACAACATTTTCTAAGTTTTCATCCTTGTTATTCACCCATTGTTCTCCAAATAAATCCCCTGGTTGTATTAAAAACCCTGGATCCGGGTTATAAGTGGGATCTTTATCAGAATCATCGCTGTCAAACATGCGCTCCATTTCCGCCACTATTCTCTCCCTAGAGTCGCTTAAAGCCGAAGTACAGTTCGAAGACGGGCTACAAAACCTTTGATGCAAAGGGCCAGGCTCTTCATCCAAGTCATCTGTGAAAAATTAAAAAGAAACAAAAGTAGATAATTATAAGATTATAATGTAAACAAACAATGAATCGTGCGCTTAACCTTGACAATAACTCATCATTCAGTGTTAACAATGGAAAGAAAGTGAGTATCATAGAAACTTTGTAGGTACCGACATAAGTATTACAGAGCCACATACACACTCAAGTAATTATTTAAAACAAGAAATCCTTACGTACATTTTTGAAACAAACCAAAGTCTAGCAACATTGTAACCTTAAAAATGGAGTTAGGAATCATACAAACTTTGTACGAACCTACATACATTGTAAAAAAGCTATGTACATACTAAAAACACCATACGAGTACGAGCTAACATTCCATAAGGAAATCGTTGAACAAAACAAACGCTACTAATGTAACCCTAAAATTTAGCCTTTAAATTTAGAGTTTAAATCACTCACCTTTACGTATTTTAGGTTTATTTATCATAGACACTAATCTTTTTCCTCTGGATTCCATAATTATAATAAAACACAACTTCTTACTAAACTATTGTGCTATTAAAACTTTTATTTCTACGCTGAGCACGTGGAGCACGCGCGCACACAATGTGACAACTGCGATCGATCGCTCTTGTTCCTACAGGTAAAAAAGCATAAATGACATTTATTTCGTTTTTGCTGTAGATAAATTAGCAAACCAAGTAGAATTATTTAACTGGTAGAATGGAATAAATATCTTTATTATAGTTACGGTATTTAAATTATATTGTTCATAACAATAAATGCGTTTATGACCTTTTCTCAGAAAAATTCTTACCATTTTACTATTTAAATTATAAAATGTAAAAGCTTTAACCGTATTTATTGTTGTTTAACTGTATAAACTGAAACGAATAGAAGCCATAATATTATTTATTATGTTATTCTGGTATATTTTTTTCAAAATGTGTGAAGATATCACTTTTACAAACTCTTTATCTCCTCAGCCATTGGACTCTGCATTTATTCGGTTTTACCACCAGATTGCGCGTAAAAATTACATGTTACTGCATTTTTAACTCGATTTAGTAACAAAATGCAACAAAATTTATCTTGTTTTACCAGTAAGCAGATGATATTATCTTTTCTTGAGGTGGAGTAAATATTTCAAAAATCCTGGGACGTGAAAGTAACTTTTTGTCCACCGAATATTGCATTATTACATTGTGAGACCTTTTTTACTGGAAAAGAGGCATTTTATCTTAGTCCTCACAGGTGACAGTGCATCTGCATTTTGATTCGCAAATGAGGATAGATGTAGATGTCTATGGGCCATAGCAACCACTTACCATCAGGAGGACTGTGCTCGTTTGTCACCCTATCTAGTTAATTGTGTATTAGTTGTATATCTTTGGAAAATTAGGTTTGCATCCACCTTTTTTTTTTAGTTAAAAGGTTAATTTAATTGCAGCTTAAACAAAATTCAGCTGACTATGATGACTTACTATTAAAGTTTTAATTATTCAGATCTCGTCAAGTACGAGTGTTCTTTGCTGATGACAATGAACCTACTAATAGGAGTATGAAAATTCGTCGTAGTCGTGGACCACGGAAAAATTATATGGAAGACAGTGAAGATAAGCCAATACAACAGAGTAAGTTTTTACCTTCTGTCTAAATGTTTGATTACTATTTTTTTTAATTTCTTATTCCTGTTCATCATCCTCATTACAGCCTTCACAAGTTCACTGCTGAACATAGGCCTCCCCCAAGGAATGCCACAAAGCACGGTCCTGAGCCACCTGCATCCATCGACTTTCTGCATGTCTTACCAGGTCGTCACTCCATCTAGTGGGGGGACGCCCTACACTTCGTCTGCCGGTGCGCCACTCTAAAACCTTTTTCCCCCGTCGGTTGTCTGTTCTTCAAGCTATGGCTGGCCCAATCCTACTTCAGCTTACTAATCCGTTGGGCTATGTCGGTCACTCTGGCTCTACTGTGGATATCCTCATTTCTAAGTTCATCACGCAGTGCAACCCCGAAAATAGCCCTCTCTATAGCTCGCCTTATTCCTGTTAATTGCCTTAAATTTACACTTTTTATATGATCTATGTTTCTTAAAACTTTTAATTGATATAGATATTGTATGTTTTATGAGATTTTGATGTAAGAGCGTTTACATATTTACTATAAAGTAGTGCATTACAGGTTTGAGTTTGTTCCAAGTATCCTTATTAAAGCTACTAACTGTCTAAAATGGCGACTGCTCTGATTTATACAAATAACGCTTTTAAACTTGCCCTTTATAATAATATTTAGGCATTTTTTTGTTTTTATACTTTCTAGTGATTACCCTTTATTATTTATTAAAATTTTTGTTTTTATCTGTGGTAGGTGTAATGTGTGAGCTCAAAGGTTCTTTCTCAGATGTAAGAAGAAGCTGTCGTAAGCGCAAACTCCTCCACCACAATTTCAATGAGAGCTGGATCACCAATGAACTGAAAGTCAAGGGTTATCCAGACCTCTATGGCTTCCCAGGTTCAAGTTCATCTGATGAGACTTCTTCAGGTGATGAAGCTGCAGTCACAAATAAGAAAATGGTATGTATATATATATTTTTATATTTTATTTTATTTGCCTACTTTTTATATGTATCTTTGGCAAATGTTTCCTCTATGAGGCTATACTATTTTAATTTGTATTGAAACTTCCTCCATTAGGAGATCTTCTAGTAATAGGTTAATACTTATTACTTATTTATAGCACAACTGAAACGCACAGTCCATTCTCTTTGTCTATTGTGCTGTCCAATAGATTTATAACCATAGAAATAAGAATGTAGGAAAGTCCAATAGTCTACCTACCTTGTGTTTTATCTTAATATTTGAGTTACACATTATAATAATGATGTTGTGCATACAATAATGAAAAACTTTTCTCATTTCCATATACTTTAGACAAGAAATATTCCAACCAATACAGATGAGGATACTCAGTTATCTCGTCAAAGAAGAACATCAGCCAGATTTAACAACAAAAAGGTATGTTGAAAACTGTTGAGTCTTAGTAGTTGTACTTGGATGTAAAAAAGATGCCACAAGTTATTTTCTAAATGCCAACCTTTTCTGCACAGTCAGCTGTGCTAGTTATTTTAGCATGTTTTTATTACAACAAACAAACAGCCACATATAATTTGCATTTATTCAGATCTTTATGTTACCATGTAAAAGCGCAGCAAGGATCATATAAATAATGAATTTATAATAACAAAATATGAAGCAAACAAAAAATGATCTATTGAATATGAACAAAACGAAAAGTTCTTTGAAATTGGTTTTTATTTTTTACTAGTGACCTGCCCCGGGTTCGCTTGGATAAGATAATGTGGCGTTATTTAGATTTAAGATAATTATTAGGAATAGCTTAGAATTTGGGGTCGAATTAGTTATGGAGAGTTAGATGTTGAGGAAGTAGACTGTGTAATTAATATTTGCTTTGTTTCTTGAAAATAGATTTACTTCAATAACTTTTTTACTGAGTATTAAGGGGACTGTATAAAGAAAGAAAAGGTGGGACAATTTAACAACTATATATTACTACACTATTTGCAAGGATATTGCGGCAGTAATTAACTATAAGATAATTAAACACTAGAGGGAGATATCTTCTTTTTCTTGAGTCTTCGTTCTGCTTTGCCGCTTGCGAATCGAATGAATTGACGCGGCCGGATGCCCTTTTTTTATTTGCGCGGCGGGGGTTTCATCGTCGCTGTGTCTCCACGCGGCGTCGCTGTGCGCTCGTTGGCTGTAGACATCACGTGATGTCCGGGCGGTGTGCGGTGTGCGGGACGTAACAGGGCATGAGGGGGCGACGGGGCGGCGGCTCCTTTCGCCGTCCGTAACAATAATTAAAGACCATTTATTATATTATTAGTTAATTTTAAAAAAATCTAAGTTTTTTTGGATAAAATATAGCATAGATTCCTCCTGGCGTTTGGCATTTCATCTTAGCCCAGACAGACAGACAGACAAAATGTTTAAAAGTGGCTGTTTATGTCTTAATAACATGTAAATAGGCCCCTGAGCTTAATATCTGCCATTTATTTCAATATTACAGACAATTTTATTTATATATGGTGGATGAAAGAATATCACAAGCGCAAGAAGGTAACAACTAGAATTTTGTCTGAACAATTTTACATTAAGTTAATGCCTTCGGCGTGACTTACCCAACTTCAATACCGAATGTGGTAACGTGGTTGAACTATACGTGCAGCTATATTAGTAGTATAGTTGCAGCACGAATGGGTCGGCTCAACCAGGGAAGGACTACACTCACAGAATACCAGCGTAAAATAGCAGCTTAATGCTACTGTGTTTTGTATGGTGAATGTAGTGAACCGGAGACCTTTTTACTGGAAAAGAGGCATTCCTTATTTAAAAAAAAATACTAGTAATGCTGTTAATCATTACTAATATTCCCTTTAACCACTTCTGGTAAGCTTCAAATGCTTGTGTTAGAAGTGGTTCACGACAGTAGTCGAATGGCGGATTCGAACCCACGACCTTTCGAGTTCGCGGTCCGCGCCCTGCCATTAAGCTACTGACGCTTCTCAATATTAGTCCTCACGGGTGACAATGCATCTGCATTTTGATTCTTTATTGAGAATAGATGTAGATGTCTATAGGTCACAGCCACCACTTACCATCAGTGGCTTGTGTGCTCGTTTGTAACTCTATCTTATTTAAAAAAATCGTTTCTGGGACACCTGAGATTTTGAGTGAGATTGAGAGTTTCAACGGGCAGCTAGCTATAAACGTTATCATTGGAGCTACACGTAAGTGTGAGTAATAATCTAATAATAAGTCTTATCTAACACTATTCCGATGATATCCCGGACGTCAGTTTGAGCGAGATTAGAATGGCTCTCCAGCACTAAAAACGGCAGCTCAATTACAGTGGAGCTTCTGAAAGCGGGTAGAAAACTAGTACTTGGAGTCCTTCAGAAGCTCTTTAATTCTGTCGACCATGGTGTCACTACTTCTTGTTCTTCAAGAAAGGCGACAACGCTCTGTTGAAGAACTATCGACCAATTTCCCTTCTGAGCCGCGTCTACATGCTGTTTTCGAAAGTCATTACGAATCGTGTCGCACACAGACTCGACGACGTCTAGCCTCCCGAACAAGCCGGTTTCCGAAAGGGTTTTAGTACCTTAGACCATATACATACCATTCGGCAAATTGTACATAAGATCGAAGAGTAAAATCTGCAACTTTGTATTGCGTATGTGGATTATGAGAAGCCTTTGATTCCGTCGATTTAGGCGGTGCAACAGTCCCTTTAGTGGTGCCAAGTTGACTGTTGGTACATCGAAGTGCTGAAGTGTTTGTACAGTAAGGCTACGATGGCTATCTGAGTACAGAACCAGAGTACGAAACCTATCTAACTGCAACCGCTGCATTGGAAGACATTTTCAAGCTACGGGACTAGAAAGGATACGGTATTAACATCAATAGTGAGTACATCACTCACCTTCGATTTGCCGACATTTTTAGTCTTGGCAGAATCGTTGGAGGACCTGAACACTGCTCAATGATCTCAATAGTGCCTCCCAACGGATAGGTCTTACTAAAGATTGAACTTAAAAACGTGGATATCGGCAGTAGAACCAGAGTGACCGACATAGCCCAACGATTTAGTAAGTTGAAGTGACAATGGGCCGGCCATATAGTTCGAAGAACCGACAACCGATGGGAGGAAGAAAGGTTTTCCGGCGGCAGCCTCGTATAGGTTTGCGAAGTTTTAGGTCTTTCTCAGATGGTAAAGGTGGCGATTAGGGTACCCGATGTAGACAGTCACACAGACCTTCTGCTGACTACCGAACCAGACAGATATGAAGTACAGGTTACTTCTCCTTTGGGTACATCTGACCACTGTCTGGTGAAATCTGTTTCGTCATATCCTGATTACGAGTGCCAAGGTTTTCGACGATTATGGCGGTATAAGTCAGCTGATTGGGATGAGATGCGACACTTTTTTGCATCTTATCCTTGGCGGGAGGTCTGGTTCTCTTCTGAGGATCCGTCGAGCTGCGCGGTTTCGATAACGGATGTGTTGCGTCAAGCGGTGGAGTACTTTATCCCCTTCTCTGACGCTCCCACCAGTAGCAAAGCTCGCTCATGGTTTAACGCTGAATGCGCCCAAGTTGAAAAGCGCAAGCATTCAGCTTACCTATCCTGGGTTGACGCTCGAATCCGCAAAGCTCCGGATATTAGCTCCAAGAAGAGAACTTTCAACCAGACCGCCAAGTCCTACAAAAAAGCATTACGGAAAGCTAGTCTCGATCGCATTAAACATATTGTCGCAAAACTCTGCCAGACCATCCGGCATTAGAGGTTTTTGGTTTCTCGCCAAAGCGGTCGAGACAAACTTCTATCGGCCTACACTGCCTCCGTTGGTAAAACCGGATGGCATACTGGCGCATACGGTTAAGGAGAAAGCGGACTTGTTCGCGTCCCTCTTTGCCTACAATTCACGTCTGGACAGTGGCAACAACGTTCCACCAAAATTACCTCACTGCGGGACCTCTATGTCGGAGATTCGTATAACGAATAAGGAGGTTCTTAAAACCTTGCGGTGTCTAGACGTGAATAAAGCTAGTGGACCAGATGGTATACCAGCTATAGTCCTAAAGGCTTGTGCACCTGAGTTGTCTCCTTTGTTGACACGCTTGTTCCGCCTCTCATTTAGTACTGGAATAGTGCCAAAATCCTGGAAGTTGGCCAACGTGCAGCCTGTTCCAAAAAAAGGCAGCCGCGCCGACCCCGCCAATTATCGGCCAATCTCAATTACCTCCATACTCTGCAAGATTATGGAGCGTATATTGAATGCCCGCTTAATGGCATACCTAGAACAGAATGCCTCCTTAGTGACCGGCAATATGGGTTTCGTCGAAATCGGTCAGCTGGGGACCTTCTAGCGTATGCCACACACGTATGGGGCGAGGCACTCGAGAACACTGGGGAAGCACTTGCTGTTTCCCTTGATGTCTCGAAGGCCTTTGATAGAGTTTGGCACACTAGCCTTTTGGGTAAGCTTCCAGCGTACGGCTTATCCCCTGGTCTGATTGAATGGGTAAAGGACTTTCTGAGTGAACGGTCTCTCCGGGTCGTCGTCGATGGCTCATCCGATTCTATGGCGACTAACGCCGGTGTTCCTCAGGGGTCCGTTCTCTCCGCAACTCTCTTCCTGTTGCATATTAATGATCTGCTTATGCCCGGTATCTATGGGTGTGCAGACGATAGCACAGTTGTTGAAAGATACCAACCAAGTCCTCGGACCAGTCGGGATCAAATTCATTCCGCAAGAGAAGCTATGGTAGAGCGTGTGAATCTCACACTACAGGCAGTCTCCGATTGGGGCGATGCCAATCTTGTGAATTTCAACGCCTCCAAAACACAAGCGTGTCTCTTCACTGCAAAAAGGAGCCAGCTCACCTCCTTTCCGAAATGTATCACTGAAATATACCGACCGCCTTCAGTTGTTAGGGTTTGAAATATCCTCAAATTTGAACTTCGGGCGGTTCATTGAGTCCAAGGCCAAAGCAGCTGCAAGGAAGCTGGGAGTCCTTGCAAAGGTGCGGCGATACTTCACGCCGGGACAGCTGCTTACTTTATATAAGGCGCAAGTCCGGTCGTGCATGGAGTATTGCTGCCATATATGGGCTGGTGCTGCAAAATGCCACCTAGCAGCTCTGGACTCAATGGAAAGGCGTGCTAAGAGGCTTATTGGTGACCCGAATTTGGTTAAAACCAATCCTACCAGCCTCGAACACAGACGTAAAGTAGCCTTTCGGTTTTCTACAGGATGCATTTTGGAGAGTGTGCGCAGGAATTACATAATTTAATTCACCCCTCTCCCTTCCACCATCGGACAACCAGACGTTCGACCAGTCGCCACCCTTTCGTTATTGACTTACCACGCATTCGAATCAAACGGTTCGCTATGTCGTTCATCGTGCGTACAGCAAAGGAGTGGAATAAGTTGCCAACATCAGTCTTTCCATCCGATTACAGTGTGGGTGTCTTCAAGGAAAGAGTGAATAGGCTTTTGTTAAGTCAGTGCGCTTCACCATCTTAGGCTACATCACCACTTACCATCAGGTGGGATCGTAGATAAGCGCTGGCTTAGTAGAATATATAAAAAAAGGTGTAGAGCAGCTCCTCACTAGATGAAGTTACAACCTGGTAAGACATGCATGAAGTTGTTGGATGCACATCCAGATGGATAAACACTTCTTCCCCTATTTTTCCACCCTTAGTGTTTAGCGGTTCACGCATTATGACATGTACGACGTGCTTAGCTCCCGAGCTACCATGGGTCTTATATTAATATTACATGTTGAATTAAAATTACTGTTTGTAAAATTTATTACAATAAAACTTTGCAGGATGCTACTGAGTCAGAATCAGAAGATGAAGTGAATCAAACTGTGATAGAAAAGAAACCACAACAAGAAACCAAACCAGAGAATAAAGAAATGGACACAGGAGAAGAAATTACTAAAAAAGAACCAGTAAAGAGTGATCCTGAACAACCAAATCAAAACCAAAATAGTGAGAGGTGGGTTCCATTTATAGGTCTTAGTGATTTTGGATTTTGAACTTCAACTTTTTTTTGCTTCATATGCAATACATTCTAAAATCCCTCCTTGCATTTTTGAAGTAAAATAATTTTATTTTGGTATTCATTTTACATATACACTCAAAAAATTGTTTTCATTCCCAAACATGTATTTTATTTCCTACACTAAAGAATAGATTTTTTAAATGATCTTTAAATTTATTGAATTTCAAATTTATTGTAATATAGTAATCAAGGCCCTGCAAGATCTACAAGAGGTAGAGGACGAAGAAGGCAGAAAAAAGAAGATAGTCAACAAGAGACAGGTAACTGTATCTCCTAACTTTCTCCTCCTCTTAAGTTTAACAAGATTTTATTTATTTAACTTCATGCATGATGTTCAGGTGGACTTAATGCCTTTCGGCATTCTATTCTCTCCGAGACAATCTTAGGGTGACGCAGAGAAAGAAATATGAAGTATTTAGATGCGTAGAATATTGAAAGGTGGAAATATTAATTGAAGTGAACATATATAAAACAAAATAATACATATACCCTTACTTAAACTTTAACTTAAAATTATTTAATACGGCCCGGTTTCGCACGGGTGATTTCTGGATCTCGACAACAGCGCTACCTACCGGGTCATGGGGGGGGATCATGGGATCATGCAGGATCCCCACTCAAACACGCACAAAAAAGTCCATCAAAATCGGTCCAGCCGTTTTAGAGTTTTTGCAAGACTAATAGATAGCAATTGATTTTTATATATAAAGATAAGCATAATATTATTTATATATTGTATGCTTAAGACTGTAGTCCTTGAGCGTGGGAACTTCTAATAGAACACCTACATTGATATTTTCTAGCCACACAGACGCATCTCGTAGTGTTAGTATACGCACCCTGGACATGAATAAATTCCTTTTGGTGTTTTGCACAAGTTACATATTCATCACGCGTTCGTCTTCGTAGGATGTTCATGAATGTCTCAAAAACACGCATTGTATGTAGCCATTTGCAATTTCTTTTATGTCATTTGTTTGTCACATATTGAAGTCCGCGAGCCCGTAATTAATAGCTGATGTGCAAAGGGTGGGGCCAGATTGTAAGCTTTCTAGGTATTATTTTAACTATTATTTTTTATTTATAAACAAATTTAAAATATTATCAATGTTTTGTGTAATATGGGAAATGTGGGTTTCATAAGAATGATCTTTTATTAAAAAATAAAGGTTAATAGAGATTTAAACAATCACAGTGGTTTAAATAATTTATACAGTATGTAACAAACAATCTGTTGGTCGTTTCAGGGACGTATAGGTGTACTATGAATGCGATTTTAGCATTTCTAATCAAATAACTAACTAAATTTATTATTTCTAAAAATGTTATTTGCATCTGAACTAAACGACAAGTGCCGACATACCTACGGCCACTGTGAGGTCTCTGACATGGCCGATACATCATTTTTTTAAAGCGAGCCGCTGCGTAACGCGCTCATCCCCAAGGTTTGTGTGTGAATGATCCCTTCAGCAGTACCTTTTAAGATGGCGGGCCATATCTTATATGTTGCAACCATTGCGGCAATTTTTTACTGCTAAGAAGAAATAATTTACTTAATTCGTGTTTTCTTTAAATAAATGGCTATAATATTATGGTTTATACAATAAATAGTTATAATAAAAATTATTTTCGTCTAAATTTATATATTACTATAACATTATTGCTAAAAGTGAAGTTATTTCCAGTATGTTTTTCTAGATACAGTTATTCTCAGAAACTTTAAACTTAAATATAATAGAAATAATAATGAAAATATTTTAATAATGTGCTGGTAGTTTATGAAAATTCCATATCTCTTCTTAAATAACGTATAACATGATTATACGGAATTTTAAAGTAGTTTAAATACATTTCACACCCATGTTGAAAAAATTGATACCTACTTCAGCCGTCATTTTGGATTTACATTTCGACAGCACTATCGGCTTCAACACCCTCGAAACCCATGAAAATGACACCCATGATGAAAAAATTGATACCCATTGCAGCCGCCACCTTGGATTTACATTTCGACAGCACTATCGGCTTCAACACCCGCGAAAACCATGAGAATGACACCCATGATGAAAAAATTGATACCCATTGCAGCCGCCACCTTGGATTTACATTTCGACAGCACTATCGGCTTCAACACCCGCGAAAACCATGAGAATGACACCCATGATGAAAAAATTGATATCTATTGCAGCCGCCATCTTGGATTTACATTTCGACAACCCTATCGGCTTCAACTCTCTCGAAAACCATGATGAAAAAATTAATACCTATTGCAGCCGCCATCTTGGATTTACATTTCGACAGCACTATCGGCTTCAACACCCTCGAAAACTATGAAAATGACACCCATGATGAAAAAATTGGTACCTATTGCAGCCGCCACCTTGGATTTACATTTCGACAGCACTATCGGCTTCAGCACCCTCGAAAACCATGAAAATGACATCCATGATGAAAAAATTGATACCTTTGCGGCCGCCATCTTGGATTTACATTTCGACAACCCTATCGGTTTCAACACTCTCGAAAACCATGAAAATGTCACCCATGACAAAAAAAATTATACTACTTACTTTTAGTACGTACTACTATTATTTATTCTGTGCTTTTAAAATATTGTAATAAAAAAGTTTAGTTTGTCCTTCGGCAACTACCAATAGATTCTAACAGCGTCAAGTATTTCATGAAAGTCACACAGTGTATTAGATTACAAAGTTTCCGTTTCCTTAGATAGCTTTACTTTACTCAATGTTACGAAGCTGCAAGTTGTTTTCGGATGAGTTAATGTAAATAGTTTTACAAAATTACTGCAAGTGTAATAAAATGGTGTAAGTGGCAAAATTTGTATAGCTTAATGTTATTAATTTACATGAAGTCAAATAAAGTTTGCACAAAAGGAGTGTGAATTATATGTAACAAAGACTTAAGACAACGGGGATATTACTAGGAAGAAAATTATGTCATGAATATCAGGTCAGGGCAGTTAAAAATTTTCCTCTAGTCAGCAATAACAAATTGAGCTATCTCTAATCTTAAGTTTTGCCAAAAGTACAGATGAACAAGTGGGTCTCATATAATTCGACATATAACAGATATACTATGCTTGGAGCCATTCCTGAATTTAAAAAACCATGGTTTGGGAGGGATGTCAGTTTGGATTTCTGCATAATATTTACCTAAGCACTTCTGAGTTTTTAAACCTCTTTATTCTCTTATAGTTATTGACATTGATATACGTCACTTAGTCAAAAGTCAAAATATGCTGTTTATTTGATAGATGTTTTGTTTTGATATATTTATTTTTGTGTTGTTTAACTTTGCAAAATTAAGTGTTTCTTTATATTTTAATGAAATTTACGTGTCATGTTGGATGAAATATGAAACGGAATTAAAGTTAAGGATTTCGGGTATGTTTTTCTAGCTTGGTCACAAATGAAAAGTTGGTGAGAAGAAAACCCAGCTTTACCCGGTGTTTTTGGACAAAGTCCAGCCTACCTACTTACCTACAATAGAAATAAATTATTACAGCCTCAGAATCATCATCCTCGGAGTCGTGTAGCGAGCTGGCGTTGGGCAGGCAACCACGCCGCTCCAAACGAACAAGGAAACCGAAACAGGCTTTTGTTCAAATCGCGCCTAGAGAAACTAGAGGCAGAGGCAAGTTATACCTATTATATATCTATTTATTATTCATTATTGTATTCGATTTTAATATTTTTACTTTTTTACTGTATTATATAGTATACGACTACAAACTTGGCAAGGTTTCGGATTAGTGCGGAAAAACTTGCGCATGTACAACAGGACGTGGACACGTTGCGGAAGGCAAAGATCGACTAGCCAACCAATTGCAGGCTCGAAACAATGCCACCTCGTTCCCCGAGCCCCGTTTGATCAAAAAGAGATCTAAAAAACGATTTCTGCGCATCCAACGAATCTTGCCAAGTTAGACGCCGGCAACTATACATAACATTGGAAATCTAAAAATAATCAAAGATACAGATTTATGGAAATTGGGGTCTTTCTAATACAAGATTTTAATTAGCTTAACTGTTAAGATCTAACATATTTTATCTTAATATAAACTTGAGTTCTGGCAGAGAGAAGATTATTTGAATAATTTAAACCTATCTAATATATAAAAATAATATTTGTTTGTTCGTATATTATGCGCTGCCATACCGTTCAACAGATTGCACTAAAACTTTGTCAACTTATTTCTTGCACTTGCCCGAAGGTTATAGGCATAGTACAATTAACTTACAGTAGGTGGCGCGCGTATCGTACCGACAATTTATTTGAAAATCATATCATTCAATTTCAATGAATTTATTATCATTCCTAATTTAATAATATCGTGGTAGAGCTATGCTGCAGCTATTAGTAGTATAGTTTTAACACGAATGAGTCGGCTCGACCGGGGAAGGACAACGCTCTCACAGAATACCAGCGTAAAATAGCAACTTAACGCTGCTGTGTTTCGTATGGTAAGTGTAAAGAAACTGAGACCCTTTTTACTGGAAACGAGGCATTCCATCTTATTCCTCACGGGTGACAACGCATCTGTATTTTGATTCGTAATCGAACATAGATGTAGATGTCTATAGGCCACAGCAACCACTTACCATCAGGTGGACTGTGTGCTCGTTTGTCACCCTTATCCTATAATAAGAAACCAATATAACCCTTCCAAATTTAAATCGATATTTCTACAATTATTTCTTCTTTGGCAGCAGTGCGCCTGGTACCAGCTAGAAGTCTATCATAATGACATACAGTTTAGTCCTTCTGTTTGTAATATTCTTTTTCCCTAAAATTAAAGTGACAAAATATTGTAAATATTTTAGGTAAAACATTCACTATACGGAAGAAACCATATAGTTTAAGGGAGAGGAAACCGAAAATTCTTCGCAGAAAAACTATTCGATGTAAGTTATCGACACACATTTACACACGACTTGTTTAAAATGATATGATGCGGCTTAGTTTTGTGAGAACCTTATTTGCTTATAATTTTATTTCGCAGCCCTCGCTGCTTTCGCTGCTTGGGGTAATAATGTACTCCAGACAAATTTTTGATCATAGCGGCCATTTTTAATGAAGTCTGGCCATCTGCACAGGACAATTATAGTGCTCGAGTCTGTGCGCAAGCACAGGTGCACTCTCTATTCTGTCATGAATAAAAAAATATGGTGAAATTAAGAATAGAATAGATTATTAAATAACAAGTTGGGTAGAAGTCAAGATTGTTTGGACTTTTTTTTTTCCTAAAATGTAACAGGTTGGCTTATTCGAAGGAGCTTTTGCATTGACTTCTGTTTTAAATTACAGCACAATCACCATCAAGCAGTAGTAGCAGCAGTATTACAACTAGTTCTGACACAGAAGAGGACCTAAATGTTTCTATGAAAAACAAAACTAAGGGCAGGTATGTGTTTTCATTTTATTCAAATTAAGTTTTTGAAAACAGACCTTATTGTTTACGTCGTAACATTATTTTTAGGCAAAAATCAAAATCTATGGATGATAAGAAGACTGATAGAGCGCTGAGGGATATACAACCAGTCGAAGTCGATGGAAGCGTTAGGTTTACTTCTGTAAGTAAATTAAAAAAAATATATATATACTATATTATACTATACTATAATGAAATATTTAGAAAAATATCAAATATAATATAAAAATTTCAAAGACATTTGAATAATAATATCAGTTTCTATGTATTTTGTTATTGCTTACTTATTTATTTATTTCAACTAACAACTATCATGACAGGAAAAGACCTAATGCGACAGTGTAGTTCTTTTCATGCATAACGAAAATATGGTCATTAACTGTAACATATTGTAAACAATCCTACCTTAGTGAATTCACTCAAGGTGCAATAGGATAGGTCAATGCCTTCAGCCATTCTATTAAGAATGCGTAACGTTCACGTTAAAAGCGTCTTGTCGAGTAAATTGGTACGGGCGCGCGGCACGCTCAGCAGCCGCGGCCGCCGCCGTTTCCATACGTACCCGTCTGGAACACAGCTCAATCCGCCCCAATATGTCACTATTATATATTTTTCCTCTAAGCATTTTAAAAATATATAAGGCAAATGCTAGGTCTCGTCTTACCCTCAAATCGTTGTAGCCAACCATACCCAGAATAAATAAAGTTGGGTACATAGGGTAGACTCCATAATAGCGCATATATAAGTATCTAATAAATTTATTTTGCACATGTTCCAACATTGCACTATAACTATTTTCGTGCGGCGACCATATTAAGGCGTTACACTCCAGATTACTTCTTACCAGCGTATTATACAGGTTGATGATTAAATTTAATGTATGTATACTAAAACATGAATGAGTGGCTTTGATAAGAACAAAGACATTCATCATAATTTAAATACTAGTAACAAAGACAAGTTGTAATGCCAGTGATTATAGTGTCCGAAAACCTTTAATACCTACCGCGCGTGCCGTGGAGAAGTCCCCGAAAATCTGCATTACCTGTCGCGAGTGACACTGTCAAGCTTAAAATCGGGATGTTCCACTAAAAGCGTGTACTCGTTGGACAACGCGACAGGCATCCGGAACGATAAAGTTAACCATTTAGTACGAATGCGTGGGATATTGAAAACTAAAAGGTGTGGTAGACCCCCCGAGCGTTAATTAAAGAAAGTTAACAGTGGTAGAGCCACGCGGCAGCTTTTGCTGTCGCACGGATGGGCCGGCTCGAACCGGGGTAGTACCACGACCTCACAGAAAACCAGCGTGAAGTAGAGATTTACCTCTGCGTTTCGCTTGGTAAGTGCAGGTGGCCGGAGGCCCTTTTTACTGGAAATGAGGCATTCCATCTTAGTCCTCACGGGTGACAACGCATCTACATTTTGATTTGTAATAGAGGATAGATGTAGATGTCTATGGGCCGCAGCAACCACTTACCATCAGGTGGACTGTGTGCGCGTTTGTCACCCTTATTTTATATAAAAAAAGTTAAATAAAATATGTATGTGTTACAGTCAACACTCACCCGGTCAAAACCACTTTAGACTAAAAAATCGGGCAAAAGTAGTTTTGACCAAGGACATTTGGCAATACCATTTTTAACTGATTTCTGCAGTGAAAAGTAGTTTTGACCTGTTATAAGTTTTGACTGTGACATATGTTTACCTGGGACAAATAGTCCGACTAGGTAAGTCCAACTTCGACCGAGAAGTTAATTGACAGATTCAACTCGGCTGGGCAGCATTCCGGATATTACGACACATCTTCTCGTCAGGCATACCTCAAACCTCAAAACAATATTGTTCAACCAGTGCGTGTTGCCACTGATGACGTATGGATATGAGACGTGGTCCTTCACTGCTAGCCGTATGGGGAAGGTCAAGGTCGCTCAGCGAGCTATGGAGAGGGCTATGCTCGGGGTTTCTTTGCATGATAGACTTAAAAACGAGGATATCTGCAGTAGAACCAGAGTAACCGACACAGGTCAATGGATTAGTAAGCTGAAGTGCAATGGGCCGGCCATATAGCTCGAAGAAACGACAACCGATAGCGAACAAAGGTTCTCGAGTGGCGGCCTCGTACCGGCAGGCGAAGTGTAGGGCGACTAGATGGAGTGACGATCCGGTGAGACATGCAGGTCAAGTCAATGGATGCAGGTGACTTGGTACCATTCCTCTTGGTGCTTTGTGGCATTCCTTAGGGGAGGCCTATGTTCAGCAGTGGACTTGTGATGAGCTGTAATAATGATGATGATGAAATACAATATTTAGTTCATAGAAGATATGTGACTTTGGTCAATACAATTCAATGATTTAAAAAAGGTACTATTTGTCAACAGGTGGGAGGCCTAGAAGAGCATATAAAATGTTTGCGGGAGATGGTCTTATTTCCTTTAATGTACCCAGAACTATTCAACAAGTTCAAAACAAGGCCAGCCAAAGGTGTTTTGTTCCATGGGCCACCCGGCACTGGCAAGACTTTATTGGCGAGGGCATTGGCAAATGAGTGTAGTTTAGTTGGAGGCAGGAAGGTGGCGTTCTTCATGAGGAAGGGGGCGGACTGTTTGAAGAAATGGGTTGGGGAGAGTGAGAGACACCTTAAATTATTATTTCAACAGGTACATGAAATATTTTTTTTTCTATAACTAATATTAATGGAAACCTATATTAACCTTTAAAGAGCATTTTGAAGAGACTTAGCTAAAGCATAACATTTTAGTACTAAACAAGCATTTAAAATTTCTGATTCAAGTCATAGTGCGTTGGAGTATTAAAATTATCCTATTTTTAAAGGCTAACAAAATGAAGCCGTCGATAATATTCTTCGACGAAATCGACGCGTTGGCCCCTGTACGTAGCGTGCGACAGGAACAAGTGCACACCAGCGTGGTTGGTACGCTACTCGCCGAGATGGATGGCCTGTGCGACAGGTTAGTATTATTGGGTATTAATTTAAAAAACAAAATCTCTACTTAGCTGCTCAAAAACCTGTACATAATATACGAGTAAGTCGTTCTAGTAATTTTTAAAGAATAAATTATTAAGAGATGAGAGTTACAAATATTAAAAACTGACCCAGTTGTATTATTTTTTTCAATATGTCAGGTATAAAGGGTTTATTACAATCTATTCCTTTACAGTAGAACCCTTGGTAAATCAGTTATTTAATTGCTATAAACAATTTTTGTGGCACTGGCGAGGATAGCTATGTAAACACCAAGAGCTATGTAAGACCATTTTCTAGATAACAACTGAAAGCAATAAAAAAACTGTGGTTGCCAACCCTCCTGCCAAGTATAGCAACAATGGCGAAATCCCTCTTATGAGGCAATTTATGGGGGTAGTCTGTGTATGATGGGGATCGAACTTGGTTTACTAGCGTGCTATGAAATATAAGGCGTGCGCCTAGCAGTCGACCTACCACGTATAAATATGTATACATTATTCATTATTCTAGTATTTTTTTTATAATTGCGACAATTTAGAAGGATCGCCCACCGGCTCTAATGAAATTGTAAAATGCAGTTGTGAGGGTTGATTTACCACATACTCAGCAGTGAAAGACCACATAGTGAGAATACCAGCATGTCTAAAAAATAAAATATTTCGAACACATTTGAAGTACGTCAATGCCACTCGAATGGATTAATTGCACCGAAAACCCTTTCAGAAATGTGATGTACTCTATATCTCTATATTTCATATTACTTCTATTTTTTACAACCTTTACAGAATGAGAGGAGGCTATGCTCAGCTGTGGGATATATAATATATCTATTCTGTAACTTTATTAAAGTATAATTTATAATCCATGTCCATGTATTCTTATTGTTCACATAGACGCATGGTATTAGCAAGTGAATCATGTCAACAGGGGCGAAGTGATAATAATAGGGGCAACTAACCGTTTAGACGCCGTGGACCCGGCCCTAAGAAGGGCGGGTCGTTTCGATAGAGAACTGTACTTTCCGCCGCCGCACGCCGCCGCGCGCCGCGACATCCTGCACATCTACACGCGCGACTGGCGCCCGCGGCCCGCCGACGAAACCTTGGACCACATAGCACAAATCACCAACGGTTATGGAGGTATGTCACCATGCTTTCTGGCCTCTGTTTGGCAGTGGGACAGGGACACGCTGTAGTGATGACGGAGGCATGTCTTACAGGTTAACGCGAAACTACTTGTCCGTTTGTGAACGGACTACACAACATAAAAACCTAAATTTCAGCGGTACCCAGCATACGTCACGTGACCGTCATTGCCTAGTACCACTATCATTATAGACATCAATTCTACTGTTGAAGGGCCTCCTACATGTACTCATAAGGGGGATACTTGCCATTTTTGCCACGCTTGACAAATAGGTTGGCAACCACAAACAAAAACTTATTTTTGTTCTATATCGTTCTCAGGAAGAAGCTGCTGCCCATTTCCTAGCTCTGTTTTCCTCTGTCGCCTCTTATGATACAAAATGTTTTGTTACAATTTTTTAAGTTGTTGCCCAATCTCAGCGCGTAGTATCACAATGCAGCCTGTCATGATTGCAGCAAAAATGGGGCAGTTTGATTGGAAAAGAACCGTGCTCGTTCCAAATTTTGTTAATTTTATGTCAGTCGTAGCGATAAAATTTAAAATAAATGTTATAGCTCTCTACCTCTACTTCATTGAACCTACACATGAAAGCAAAGCTCAGTGTTACGGCCCACAGCTGCCCCTGCAAGGGTCGCCTTGGCTAGGGCCCATAGTAGCCTCCTCGACGGGCAGCCAAGGGTTCGGGCCCAAGTGGCCTTATGGAAAAATGACTTATCATACTACACAATAGGGAGAAGGCAAGGTAAATAAATAGTACGTACCTGGATCCAAATCTAAGACCGCCCCAAGGCTCAGTCACGCCGTAGGTAGAGTAGATGCATGTGAAGTGGTGTGTATATGTAGGTGACCTGGCCCAGCTGAGGTGACCTGGCAGAGGCCGGTTTCCATGCTGCCCCACAATGCTGCATCACTCCAGCAGGCGTCCACAATGGACAATTTCTTTCTTAATTTCACTATTTCAGTCTATCAACTTTATTGTACATTTCACTAACTTCAACTCGACTAATTCAACGTTCATCGTAGAATCGAACACCTGATACCCGCCACAAGTAACTAACAGTAGTTCAAATTTCAACATTCAATGTCCCGGATTCATTATCCACCAAATCACAAGTAACGAACAGTACTTCAAATTTCAACATTCAATGTCCCGGATTCATTATTCACCAAATTACAAATAGCGAACTAACGCGATCTCTTCATGAGTCACACGGTTCAGCGTTACAAACACAACTAAGCTCCTTCGTTCGATATTAAATAATACGCCGCAATAATTTGACACGCAAACAAGCTACAGAATCAACACACAAAAGGCTCTTAACGCGACGGTATAATTAAACAATGATTTCCAAAACAATCAACCGGGCGACGCCTCGGCGCGCACGCAAATTCCACGTCACACGAGCAAGTTAAATATTGTAAAATGCACTCCAACACGCAATCACTATATAATTGGCGCAATTACTTTCAAACGAAATTACTTTAATCAGTCAAATACAATACAAGCCTCTTGTCGCGAACTTAAAACCTAGACAAACTAAACCGAGGTGGTTTTCACGAAACCACAATTACGTAGCGAAGTAACGCGCACAAATTCTAAAAATCTAGACCATAACCCAAAACCGGTCGCGTGAAACTCGGCAGCGGCCACCGAGACACGCTAATTAACTGCACCGTTGTTCGCGAGCTACTGTCTCTCGCCCGACAGCGCCAAACGCTGGGAAGCTGCCTTCCGCTGCCCCCTCCCCGCGACACGCGTGACACCTGGTACTATCGGGCGATTCACTAAGTCGAACGTGATTGGTGCCGTCTCAAAATGACCATTTTTGGCCTAAACACTCAGTTATGCATGTTTTAACACAATTTAAAGAACATATTAATTTCTAATTATGTTATGTATCTAATACCTACTTGAAAAGTATTTTAAGTTACCAAAATTATCTTTTTGTTGCAGGTTCTGATTTGAAAGCATTGTGTTCCGAGGCTGTGTTAAGGGCGTTAAGAAGAGTCTACCCGCAAGTGTACGATAGTGAACACGCTTTGGTTATCGATCCGAAAAACGTGAGTATTATTAATATTAAAAAGATTGCCACTATTTTTATTCGTATTTTCTTCGGCCTATTTTCATTTCATTCAGTCCATTATCCTGTTCAAAGCGTTGGGTGTTCCACGCTGAACATCAAATGTGAAGTAAATGGTGGCACAAAGCGTCTCCCACACAGAAGCGGCTTGCGGTGGCGGCCAGTTGTATTCGCTTGCAATGTAAGTGAGTCCGCAAACCCGTGCGGCCATGGCGCGGCCTGCCAGCGGCTGACCGCGGCCGCATGCCCCGCCCCTTCTGCCAACGCGTGTGTGTTAGCGAGTACGCGGTCAGTCGGTGGCCGCACCACGGTCACGCGCCAAATTTTTACAACAGGCCGCGTGTGCCGCTTGAAAAATGGTGCTGAATTAAAAATTTTAATAGAAACAGTGCAAAATTATCCAGTACTTTATGATAATTTGCATCGTGATTACAAAACCATTAGGATTAAAAAGAAAATATATGATAATATTGCTGAATATAATAAAACTTCATCACGGTTAGCCATGTTTACTGACGTCTAATCGTAGCACAGACACCACAGCTAATGGCGCTTCAGGCCGCCTCTGCGACCGCCGCTGCGACCGCGGAAGTATGTTGTTGCAGCGGCTGAAGTTCCGGCTCGCAGTTAGCCGCCACCGCAAGCCGCTTGTGTGTGGGAGACGCTTAAGAGGCAAGAAGCACCCATATCATTCCTTTACAAGTTGTTATCAGAAAGATGCTGCTTTCTGATAACAACTTGTTGTATTGTACGCGTAAAGTCTAATTACACCCCTCTTTATATGTGTAACACAGTCTGCAATAAACCATTAAACAGTGAATACGTAGTTTACTTTTCTGAAATGACATATAAGCAAGTGTGACCCCTCCGAGTAACAAAATAATATTCATAGTGGCCTGAATCGAGCCGGATTTTTATTGTAATTACGATACCGTGTAGTGGCGGTGTAAGAATATCCATTACCCCATACCATCACGTGGGTGTCGTAAGAGGCGACAGAGGGAAACAAATCAGGAGATGGGCAGCAGCGTCTTCCTAATAACGACTAAAATAAACTGGGGTTGCCAACCCGCTTGCCAGGCTTGGCAACTATGACAAATATCCCTATGAGGCAATTTATGGGGGAGGCTTTTGTTCAGCAGTGGACTTTAATAGACTGTAACGGTAAATGTAAATAAATTAGATTTGGAATCTCATAAAGAATAGAAATAATTTGTAAGCAAAGAAAAAAGCGACAGTAGCCTAATGTTATGGTGCCGACCACCGAATTCAAAAGATCGTAGGCTCGAATCCGCCATTCAATTATTGTTGTAGACTACTTCTAACACAAACATTTTAGGCTTTTGTCAAAGGGAACATTACTAATGTTAATAGCATTGCTAGTATTTAAAAAATTAAAATGAAATGAAATTTTAAACACTTTAGTTGCTATCGTCAGGTTCAACAAGGGATTAACCTACATACATTGCGCTCATATCATGTTACAACTACGGAGAGGGTTTGTCCATTGTGTAACGGGAGTCACAAAATGGAACCAACAATTGGAGTGAATTCGTAAAGACAAAACACATATTTCAACTATCTAATTCCTGGTTACCCAGTCAAAGCTTATCGGTCATCCATCACACGAAGGATTTGTCACAAACATCATCACTCTCTTCTTCATGAATTAGTAATGACAAAAAACATGTTTCAACTATCTAATTCCTGGTCACCCAGTCAAAGCTTGTCGGTCATCTAGCACATGAAGGATTTGTCACAAACATTATCACTCTCTTCATCATTCACGTGCAATGAATCCCCAAGGTAAAAAGCAAAAAGAAACACAACAATGGTTTTACATATAAATGTTGAAGAAACAGAAGAATTTCAAATCAATACAATGATGACATTTCAAGCGTATGCAATGAAGAACACAGCTTTATTAGGTTCAGCAGTAGTTACACTATGAAGTGAAGATGAATACACAACTGTTGAAGAGCGTCGTTTCAAAACGCAAGTTGTCACATCTCGGACAATTTTCAATATGCTACGGATTTGTACCCCTTAAATATACTACTTTACTACAACGAAACTCCATTTGCTTCAAATTGCTATTAATACATATAAAAAAGCATGTCAAAAATGAGGTTTGCTTCGAAACGACTAAAAAAGTTAGAAATTGTATTGTATCAAAATGCAACCGAAAATATTTTGTTTCAGAACGCAACTTTTCTCTATGAATTATGTCAAACGTCATTCTCTTTTGACGCGCGCGGCGCGTGTTTTCTTTCAAAGAGAACGTCTTTGGCGTAGCGTTATATGTAATAGCGTATATAAAATTTACCCACATCCTGTGTTTTATTTCCTATACTTTTTTATAAGTAGCAACATTAATATAATTTGGATTTCTAAAAGAAAAAAGATTTAAAGCCGGTATCAAAGTGAAACTTGTCCAAGATTTTGGATTAAAACGCAAGATGTCCATTAATGTTTCATTATTTTCTACCCTTAGTACTAAGAAACATATTTATATTTTGATTAAATTTCTTTCAGAACATTCGTAGTAGTTATGCCAAAATCGGTATAATAAATTTTTATGAGAACTGTTATTAATAGAGGTTTTTGCTTAATTACTCAGCATTGTGTTTGTTGGACAAGTAGCCATTTGAAACGACGCTCTTCATTTAGAGCCCTCATTAACACGGGATCGCAGGGTTGCTTAATTAGTGAATATGCAGCTAAATCTTTAAAGGCTAAAAGGTATAAAGTTTAGGAAAACATTGTTGGTATGGGATCTGTTATGTCAAAAATAAATCAAGTAACGAGGTACCAAAGCCTAAATTCTGCCTCAAGGCAAAAGCGAATGTCATATCAAAACTTCTGACTACTGAAATTCCCACGATATCAACAGCGTTTTACGAATGGCCTCATCTCCATGGGCTTATTTTAGCAGATCCAAGTATTCACAATCTATTGATTTGTTATTCATTAACTCCTTAACAACTGTAACAAAAACTCTCAGGTGACTTTTGGCGTCGATGGCAACATGAAGAATATCTTACAAGGTTGCAAACAAAGACCAAAGTGGCTAAAAACGAATGGGAGTTTGTTATCAATGAAATTGTTCTCATTAAGCAAGATTAAATGCCTGCTGGAAAGTGGATCGCATATTTGCTAAACATCCTGGACCAGATAGAGACACAAGAGTTTATAGTCTAAAGTGTGATGATGGTGTTATTAAAGCAGTGCTATTTGCTTATTGATTGTAATTGAATTTTATGCATGTTCATTATGTTTGTTAATGTATATTATTAGAATCACTATGGTACCGACGGTTAAGTTTTGTACTATTACATATATGTAGATATAGTGAACGTATAAAAAGTTAATTTTTAGTTGGCGGTTTGTTGAATTGTACGCGTAAATTCAAATTACAACTCTTTTTATATTTGTAAAACAGTTTGCCATTAGATAGTGAATATGTTATTTATTTCTTTTAAGTGACGTATAAGCAAGTGTGACTCCTCCCGCATAATTATTAAAAATTAAAAATTTTGTACAACCGACTTCAATATAAATTATTAAGAATAACTCAAAAACTAATGGTCAGACCTTGATTAAATTTATATGGGACCACATGAAAAGCATAAGTTTTCCAAAAAAAAAAAAGAATCATCTAAACGGTTCACACAGAAAAAAGTTAGAGGTAACACACAAAAAGATATAGAGTTGAATTGAGTACCTTCTCCTTTTTGAAGTCAGTAGAAACAAGTTCACAATTCAAAACCAAAAATTGCGGTTGCTAACCATTCTGCCAAGTATGACAACTATGGCAAATAATAATATCATGCAGACGAAATTTCGGTAACGGGCAGTTTCAACGGAGATGAGAACGGACCTGCGTCCATATGGTACCGTGCGTAGGAGACGCACGGTAGAATATATAATACAATACGATCTGTATAATATATTATACAAGTCGTGTGGTATAAAAGATTATACAAGTCGTGTGGTATAAAAGATTATACAAGTCGTGTGGTCTTTCCGAGGCACGGTGGTAAAACACCGCCAATTTCCTGACTCTTCACTGTTATTGAGAATTTCTTGACGAATAGCCCGATAACCGACGAACCTAATGATTAGCAGTCGCGCGGGAACAACGAGGCAGTCTAAATATGACACTATAACAAAAATCGATCCCTAAGAGACAATCTGTGGTGAAGGCCCATGTTCAGTAGTAGGCGACTTTGTGAGAATGTAACGAATGAATGAATGAATGAAATGAAGTTTAAGCTGGTAGTACGTTTGCAGGTGGAGGTGCAGATGGAGGATCTGGAGCGCGCGATTCGCGGCATGGTGGCGGCCGGGGCGCGCAGTGCGCCGCCCGCCGCGCGCCGCCTGCCCGCGCACGCGCTCGCGCTGCTGGCGCCGCAGCTGCGCGCCGCCGCGCCTCTGTTGCGAGCCGCCGCTCCGCGCCCGCACGCGCACAGGTGAGTGCGAGTGTGCGAGTGTGCCCGCCGCGCGCCACGCTTGCACGCACACAGTCTCACCTGTGCTGCGTGCATGCGCGGCGCGCAGAAGCGGAACACCCACTTAGCGTTCCTGATTTTCACGCACACAGTGGTATGAGAACACGCGAATGTGTCCCGTCGAGCACGTGTACTTGCTGCTCGTGTCGCTCCTACGCAGCCACGTCGCTCCAGCACCCACACAAGTGAGAAAGCGCGCGAGTAGTGTTCTTGGCGTGCACGCGTATTTGATACTGGCGCCGCAATAGGGTATTACACCCATTTTCAAAAAGTGTTTTAAATGAATCCTAGAGTGATAATGAACCACTGTAGTTTTTATATATTTTTTTTAAAACCGAATAGTAACATAAAAATTACTTTTAATCTATCTTTTAAATTTTCGCGTGAAAACGCTAGCCGCCATACTGTTCTACTCGTGACGTCACTGTCGTAGAATTTTGACAATTTTTCAAAGGAATAAGATACTTTTGAATGTTTAATAATGATTTATCGTTTATATCACTGTTGTGTTGTGCCTGATTGCAAAAATACGAGCATAAGAACGCCGGGGAAGTTATGGATTAAAGTGCCAACTGATTTAAATATGAGAAATACTTGGTTAAAACTGGCAAAAAGAGACCCGAAGGCATTGTCTACAAAATCTAAACTATAAGTACTTCTGTGAATATCACTTTGATGTAAGTATGACTTATATTTAACTAACGATTAAACACAGCAAAACGTTATGACCTATTGGTACCTATTGCAAGTCAAATTTTGTAATAGATTAGGTTAATCGCTTGTCTGTCCCGCCCTTTGTGGGCTATTTTGTAGCCCTTACAAGTGCAGTGCAGTGTTTTACTTAATTCCTGTTTTCTTCTATTATATGGAAATAAAGACATGGTTTGTACTCAGACCAAATAAAAAAGTGACTTTTTATTTCGTCTGAAGGTTTGTACAAAAAAATATAACAAAAACTTTTTCTCACCTAAGCTTATATTATAATATCTATAACATTAGTGCTAAAAGCGAAGTAATAAACTCGCTTTTACGAATCCGTCTTCCATGATGCCTTTTAAATAAAATTCGGAATAAAAGTCAACAATCGTAATGATAACTTGAAAAATTTCGAAATTAGCTAGTTAGAACACAGCACATAACCTAGTTCTTTGACCTAGTGACGTCACGACGCTATCTAACATGGCGGACATCGTTTTGCAGATTTGAGGCACAGGTAAAAAAAATATTCTTTAAATTGAAATATAAAATTTATAATGCCTTTTTATAAATTGAAATCAATATTTCTCGTTTAATTTTTACAAAACTGGAAAGGGACATTAATCTTTACATACATACAGTTTTTTATAAAACTAAAGAGACAAACGAACTTACAGTCCACCAGATGATATGTGACTACTACAGCCCATAAACACCTGCAACCAAGTTAAATCAAAGAAGACTACATAATATATAATAATATAATACACCGCAAAATATATTTTCTGTATCACACAAACGTGGCTTTCTACAATCGTCAATGCTAATAAAACACTTGTAAGTCAAAGTCAAAATATTATTATTAAATTGCTTTTACCAAGCATTTTTTGAAAATCTTAAGCTGCACCATCGAAATGACTTAATGCTGTGCATAATTTGTCATTACCGTTAATTTTTATGTTACGCATAATTGTTAACGCTTCTAAATAGCGTTGACAAATGTAGAAAATCAACTTAATCAACTCAAAATATTATTATACGTGGTAGAGCCATGCTGCAGCTATATTAGTAGTATAGTTGTAGCACGAATGGGTCGGCTCGAGTGGGGAAGGACCACGCTCTCACAGAATACTAGCGTAAAATGGCGGCTTGATGCTGCTGTGTTTCGTATGGTGAGTGTAGAAAACCGGAGACCCTTTTTTACTGGAAAAGAGGCATTCCAACTTGGTCCTCACGGGTGACAACGTATCTGCATTTTGATTTGCAAAGAGGATAGATGAAGATGTCCATGGGCCACAGCGGCCGCTTGCCATCAGATGGACTGTGTGCTCGTTTGTCACCCTATCTTATAAAAAAACTTGGCTAACCCCGAAGGTTACATGTCTTTTTGACCTTTAGTAATTAACACAATGTGGTGTACATTGCAGCAACTATTTTCACCGTACCCATCTGGTGAGTATATGTCGCTTATAACATTTCTTACAATGTTGCATGCGCTGTGCTATGTGTATACACATAATATCTCGTCCTCGCCAAGCAACTGTTTTGAGGATAGCTTTTGAATTTAAACACACATTTAATTAACTATTTCATTGATTTGTATAATGTATTATATGCTAACTATATTTATACCCAACAGTACAAAAATAACCGAAGCTCCGCTGTCGTCGAGCGTGTTGCTGATTAGCGGTGAGTGCGCGGAGACTCATATCGCGCCTGCGCTGCTCGCCCAGCTCGAACACTGCACCGTGAAGGAACTCAGTGTCGCCACGCTGCATTCGACCCTCGCCTTCACGCAGGAACAGGCTCTCATATCGGTCAGTATTCTATACACAGCATATTCAATAATAATGAGCCGTGTAGTGGCGGCTGTATCCAACTACCCCATATCTCGTAAGACGACAGAGGGAAACGAACCAGGAGATTGGTTTGGACCCCCTTTGAAGCAATCTATCTCCTTCGTTTTTTGTTTATTTTTTCTTTTTTATCAAGCAATCTATGGGGGAGGCCTATGTTCAGCAATGGACTTGTGATAGGCTGTAAAGGTTCTCAATAATATTAATATTCGGAGAAACCCCTACAAGTTCACTTAAATAGCTAAATTCACTGAAATGCAATTAAGTATAAATTAGCTCTTGACGTGATAGAGTTACCCTACAGTGGTATTATGGTTGCAGAACGAGTGTGCCATCTTAATCAGGGAAGGATCATGCAGTCCATACTGATAGAATACTAGCGTAAAAAAAGCTTAATTTTGCTGTGATTCATATAGTGAGTGTAGAGAACTGGAGTCATTTTGGAAGCAAGGCATTCCATATTAGTCCTCAGGGGTGACAACGCATTTTTATTTCAATTCTTAATCGAGGAACGTTTATGAGCACAGCATCCACTTACCATCAGGTGGACTGTGTGCGTATTTGTCACCCTTATTCTATTAAAAAGCTCGCTTCTGATCGTTTACACAACTGTTAGACATGGACCTCTTTTGTTGTAGGGAGGATTTGCCTTAATCGGCCTGATTTGCGATGGCAGATCCAGACATATCTTACCTTTGATGCTGCTCCCCGTCGTCGGTTTAGGTATTGTACGCCTGACATAAACAAAATGGTTATACTGCTATTTGTCGAAAGCCATGATATCTTTCTGGTATATTCTATAGTCACTATTAATCCTGTGTGCTAGTTTCTTATGAGATTCGGTCTGGAGGACATTATTATTCAAAGAGATTTAAATATTTAGGTATACTATAGAGCGGACATTGGGAACATTTATATACAAAAACTTTGAGCTAGTGCGCATGGGAAACCCTCTAGCTAAATATAGCAAAACAACGCTAAGCATTTATTAAGACAACATTTTAGCTATTCCCCAGTAGGTGACGCTAATAAATATAACGTTTTAGGAATGTTACCGTTTCGATATCAAAGTATCAATAATGTTGTTGAAGATTACTAAGTTTGAAATGCTTTTCGATATTATAATAGGAGATATACATGATTGTTTTATAATTAAAATTGGTTACTAAATAGTGACGTTTACTGGATAACAGAGGGCGCTTATTACAATAAAAATAAATGTTCTAGAACAATCTACAAGAAATAATAAAATTTAAAGATTATTCGGTAAATATATGTTATATTTACGATAATAAACCGATATCACGTTAATTTTTGCTCCATATCGTGACTTACAATATCTTAATGCACCACCGGGCATATTTTATTTAAAAATATTTTTTAAATATATTAAGCGAATGCGTCTTGACTTTTTGACGATGTCACTAAGACTAAATGACAAAAATCGGCGATATATCCTATAGGATATAAGTTACAGACGACAATTTTGCTACTGATGTCCGGTCTATTAAAACTATTTCTTAAATATCTTTGTTATTGTTATTATGGGGTATTAATAGACTATTCTCATTTGGTTGGGCTAAATAAATATATAAAAGGAAATGATAAATATACATTAATATATATTAAATATACTAAGATAAATAAATAATGCATAAATAAATAAAATCCCAACCAGATGGAAGCACTCTGAAACGGCCGAGGATTAGGGGGATAGGGAAAGCAACCGGCGGACGATGCGGGCGGTTTCGAGGAGCATTGCCTTCTGCATTTGAGCCTGGGGCGGTCCGTCACGGAGTCCCCGTCGCCTCAGATGCCCCGAAAGGCCGACCGGGATTAGCCCGTTTGTAGAGACGACTACAGGAATAATTTCGGTCGGCATACCACTCCACATGTCGGTCACCTCGTGAACCAGGTCCAAATATTTTGTTTTCTTATCTGTCTCGTCATACGAAATGGTAATATCGACCAAAATATCCTGGACTGTGCCCGGTCTATCAGTAGAATATCAAGAATAGTCCTGTCTGTGAAGATCATCCGGTCCCAGTAGAGCCTGGCGCGGTCATTTTCGAGCACGGATTCCGGCAAATATTTCTAATAAGGCAGTTTCCGATCCACGAGACCATATTTCAGAGCGAGCTCCTGGTGTACAATCCTGGCTACTAGGTTGTGCCTGTACAAGTATTCAGAGTTAAAAAAGCGCCGAACAACCAGAGATAACATGCTTAAGTGACTCACCGGGATGGCGACAAGCTCGACAGATGTCGTCGATGCCATCCTTTAGGATGTATCTACGTTAGTTGTTGGTCTTAATAACCTGATCTTGTACTGCACAGGCAAAACCCTCGGTTTCCCCGAAAAGGTCATCAAAACGTAGCCAGTGGAGGGAAGCAACTGTGTCTACGAAAGGCTCATAAAGAGCCTTGTAGAATCTCTGGTGGAGCTCCTTCTTACATACGGTCTCCCGGTCGGAAATACACTGTACTGCTGGGTCTTGTCATTGTTCGTTTGCTAAGGCTAGAGGGGTTAGCCCTTTATCACACAAAATGACGCCCCTGTAGAATGGATCATCCGATTTCGGGAAGTAATTACGAAGGCTGCATACTTCGCGATTATGCATGATAAGCGCGCTTAAAAACCCGCGCCCACCATGTTTCCGCAGCAAATACAGCCTCATTACTGACGATCTCTGATGGTTCATCCAGTGGGACGTCATAACGGTGTGGACTTTTTTATCCAGAGATTTCAGTTCAGTCTGAGTCCACCTGAGTATGCCAAAGGTATACATGAGAACAGGCACAACTCAACCGTTATATGCGTGTGTCTTATTAATGTCCGACAAGACTGTTAAGCATCTTTGTCAAGCGTGCATAAACACATCGCAAACTGACTGTTTCATGTCCGCCTATGTTCTGTGACATACCCAGGTATCGGTATTTCAGCCTCGGAAAGGGTCCTTATGTTATTGGGCATAGGTGAGTCTATGCCCTCAGAGTTTGGATGACCGCAGCATATCCGTCCCCAGCTCCATTCTGATTGAATTGCTGAACTCAAATATGGGTCATATAGAAAAGATGGGTCACTTTTGTCCCTCCTTTACGAAGCCGAATTCCCTTCTCAGAGCCCTCCAATAAGGTACTAAGAGGGCTTAGAGAGAGTCGGAACTAGATTGGACTCAGTCAATCGTCCTGCAAGATACCCCTTTAATCCTTATGCGGTTCTCTGCAGCCGTCATCCGCTCGCCCAGATGACAATAGACCGTACTCCACTGCCCCATACACTGCCTGAGGAAGTCTCTAACTGCACAGTCAACCTTGTACAGCTCGAAGACCCTCTAGCCAGATATGGGTCACCGAGTCGAATGCCTTTCTGTATTTTATCCATTCGGCGGTGACGAGTGATTCTCGCGCTCAAAATGGGTGTCAGTGTCTTATATACGGTGGTTACACACGTGATGGGGCGGTATTTGTTCGGGACGGTGGTATCCTGATCTTTTAGTACCAAATGAGTGATCCCAGTAGTGAAGAGGCTCGGTAGCGACTTCTGGTTGAGAGCCTCTTGAAACTGTCGGGAAAGCACAGCGGGATACGCCACGAATCCCCTTCAGCCAGTATCAGTCAATCACAGCTTTAGAATGGTTTTCATCCTATCTTCGCGGCCGCCAGCAATCAGTTCGATTACGACAACAGTCTTCAACATGGGCTGACATTGAAACAGGCGTGCCGCAAGGCGGAATACTTTCTCCTATAATGTTTTCTCTATTTATAAATTCTATTACTTCAGTTCTCAACTGTTCGTACCATCTGTATGCAGATGATATTCAGCTCTATGTATGTATATCTAGTGCTAATGACCTTAACCATAATATTCACAAAATCAACCACAACCTTGATGCCATAAGAGATTGCTCGTACAGACATGGTGTTTCGGTTAACCCTTCCAAATGTAAGGTAATGGTTATAGGTAGTAGCAGAATATTAGCCAAGATTAATAACAATGATCTTTCTCCCGTATTTTACAATGGAATATTGCTGCGATTTTGTAAATCTGTTAATAATCTTGGCTTACATATAGACCATACCTTAAGCTGGGGAGTTCAAGTTGCTGAAATAAAGTTACTGCCATCTTACGATCTCTTTGCCGTCTCAAAAACTTTCTGCCTTTTAAAACTAAACTTCTACTTGTCCAGACTTTGATATTACCCATTATTGATTATGCGGATGTGTGTTACCCAGATCTATCTCAATATCTTCTCGATAAGTTGGAGCGCCTTCTCAACAATTGCATTAGGTTCATTTTCGGTTTATGTAAGTATGACCATGTTTCTCAGTACCGTTCTAAGCTTAAATGGCTTTCTATTCGTCAAAGGCGTAGCTCCCGAATTTTAAAAGTACTCTATTCAATTTTCAATGACCCAAATTCTCCTTCTTATCTTAAGGATAACTTTCAGTACCAATATTCTACTCATGATAGAGTTCCCTGTTCCCAAAATAGTCTTAAAATTGGTATTCCACCACATGAGACTATAGAATAGAATATTTTTTATTCAATATTGATTATTACATAATACTTATTGAAAGTCATTTTTTATTTACCACTGGTTCGGAAAATACCTCAGTCCTGGGAAGAACCAGCAAGAAACCCAGCGGGACTTTTTTTTTAAACTATTTCACTTAACAATATTTTTGTTTATACAATTTTTAAATGATTTTTCATAGAACCAGCATGGTGGCGATCAACCTATTCCCAGGGGTTATTTTCATTCGTGTATTCCTTGATATTATAATAACCCTTTTTGTTCAGTTTTTCTTTAATAAAACTTTTAAACTTGTTTATTGACAAACTTTGAATATGTTCTGGGATTTTGTTGTAAAAGCGTATACATTGCCCCATAAATGAATTACTGATTCTGTGGAGTCTAGTAACTGGCATTATAAGCTTATGTTTGTTCCTAGTGTTTA